TCAGGGCCTTTGCACGTGCCAGCTCAATGCCTGGACACCCTCTCCCCACTCCAGTTGGTCCTTCAGGCCTCAGCTTGGGGAAGCTTCTGCTGACCTACAGTGCCACGAGGACATGGTCAGCCTTCCTGTCTCTGCCTCCAGGGCCTGACATGGGGACTAAAAAGGTAACCCCTGATGCCAGTCAGATTTTGTTTTGTCAACAGCGGTCACCAGGAAAGAGTTCTGGGCTCCAAGGCACTTGTGGGTGAAGGGGACCCCTGCCCTGGGGCTCTGATCACAAAGCCAGGCCTGGCCACCAAGTGTGACTCTGACCACCCCCTTCCTTCTTCATAGCGACCTGATGTCCCTGGAGCTGGTGGGGGGCCCCTGTGGGCCTCCCAGGTTCACCTCCCTGTTCCCCACCTGGCATGTGGCACCCGCAGCGGACAGCCCTGCACTCAGCAGCCGGGTGCACGCTGCTCCCCAGCCGGGGTGTCTGGACCTTGGCTCCCAGAGGGGCAGATGGAGAGCTGGTTCTCGCCTGCCCTGTGCCAGGCAAGCAGGCAGGGAGGGGACCTCACACCACGAGGCTGGTTGCAGAGGAGGTTCCCAGACCCCCCTGGGACTCCCCACAGCTGTTCCCTTCATCTAGTTCCCCATGACCTGGCCAGGCAGGCTGAGGGCATGCTGACTGCCACGGGACAGAGGCTCCCATGGGGGCCGGGAGGTGGGTGACGGGCCCAGGACCCCCACTCAGGATGGGACCCTACAGGCTCTCAGTCCTAACAGGGGCTGGCCTGCCTGCCTGACCTGCTTTTTCTAGACGTTAGGTGGGGAGACAGGGTGTGGGGAACGGGATGATGGCAGGAGGGCTGGGGGGGGGGCATGGAGCGGGGGCCGACCCTTCACAGGCAGAGAGCTCCTGGCCAGCTGCCCTCCAGACATGCTTTGGGGATTACAGATTACAGCTCTCAGTCATTTGCATATCGGAATTTTAAACAGCCTGCCCCTCCAGTGAACAAGGTCATTTCAAAGATAAAAATACCGAGCTCTCCCCCTCCTGACACCCACCCCCTTTCCCTTCAAAGCCCCCCAGCCCAGCATCCCCCTTTCCCCAAGCCCTTCCCCACCATGGGCTGTACCCCCGCCCTACAGACCACGGACCAGGCCTTGATCGCACTCCTGAGCCTTTACTCAGACTGTCCCCTTGTGACCAGGGGACCTCCTTGCCCTGTGGGGCCCGTGTGGGGGCCTCCCTGTCTGCCAGGATCTCCTCCCTTTCCTGCACACTCCGTGGTTCACTTGCTGGTGTGGCCTGAGCTCCCAGCATGGAGGACACATCCCCGCACACCAACTCATGAGGGTCCAGAGAGTATTCATCCAACACTGGGTGGGGGCTCTGCCCCAGCCCCCGCCGGCCCGAGGTGGGCTGCTGTCCCGCTGCTCAGAGGACAGCAGGGACAGAGCCGGCTCAGAGCTGGGTCTGCAACCCTGCCTGGCCCCACCGACTCCAAGCGCAGTGGGGACCGCTCGCGCCCAGGGCAGGGGAGAGTGGGCGGGGAGGGGAACGAGGCCACACCGCGGACAGGGAAGCGAAAGGCGGTCTCTCCCGGCCTCAGGGCCTCGTGGCCTTTCTGGCCTGAGAGTGGCTGCTTCTCGTGGACCCTGCTGACACCCCACTTCCCAGAGGAACCCACGCTGCCCGGGCGGGCAGATGACGCTACGGCTGGCCCTCTGTGTGCTGGTTCCCCGGGAAGCTACCGTTCTCCCTCGCTCCAGCATGGACAGGAGGAAACGGGGGCCCCAAGAGGTCAGGCACCCAGCCCACAGTCACTCGGCAAAGCTGGACCCAGGCCGGGGCAGGTATGCTCGGGGGTCTGTGATCCTGCCTCTCTGCAAAGCTATGACGGGGTTGGCGGGGGGCGGAGGGGGGGGCTCCCATGGGACCAGTCACGCTCGAGAGCTAAGCCAACAGAGCTCACAACTCTTTCAAATGAAGACACATCCCTGAGCACCTCCCCAGACTGCTTTTGGAGCTCCAGGGTCAGCAGGTATCAGGTGGGGCAGGAACGGGCCTAGGAGACCATGGGCCCCTCACGCATCCCGGACCCGCTCTCTAGTGTTGAGGACGCCCTTTCGCATCCAAGACCGCCCCTGGGTTGGTGGTGTGTCCAGGCCCTCCTGGGAGGCCGCCCTCCTGCCCGGTGCCCTGGGGGTGCCTCCTGGGGGTGCTCACGACCGTCTGCTCTGGGCCTTGACCACCAGAAGTGCAGTTCCACTGCACACGCCATGCTGAGGCCGAGAGGCCCTGAGGCCCGGTCTCTGCTGGGCTGTGGTCACCGGCTCCTGGGCCTCCCTGGGTGGTGGGTCCCAGCAGGGGCAAAGGGGGTCCCTGAGAGCCCCATGAACCCTGGCTAGCAGATGGCAGCCAGAGAGGGGAGGTGGGGACGAGCAGTGTGTGCCGTGCCAGGTCCGTGCTGAGCCCTAAGCTCTGTGAGGTGACCGAGGCCTACCTTGCGCAGTCTGGGTGGGAAACGGAGGCTTGGGGCCCAGTCATTCCCCCAAAACCAGACAGTGCACGGTGCACTGGGGTCCAAGCTAGCCCCTTCACCTGGAAGGTATCCGGTGTCCCCCAGGCTGACCCCCCAAGCCCGGTCCCCAAGCCAGGTGGTGGGGCCAGCACTTTTTCCCCATCTGGGGACAGAGAAGCAGCGGCCAGCCAGAAGCAAGACACAGACTCAGAGACACAGGGAGGGAGAGAGACTTGCCCAGGACATGCAGAGGGGCTCGGGGGTCAGACCAGGGGAGGGGGAGCAGGGCTTGTGGGCAAAGGCCACGGCGGCAGGCCCCCCTCCCGCGGCAGGTCACTGGGCTGGGCACTGCCCTCAGGGACGCTGGCCTGGCCAGACCCTGGCAAAGCCCTGCTGCCCCATCGCTGGCACGGGCAGCCCCGCAGAGATAAGGATGCAATGGGCCTCTCTGGCTTCCCTGGCGGACGATAAGTGTGGCCTGTCCGGGGTCTGATAGGGGGCAGGCACCACGGCGGTTGGCCAGTGGTGGCTTATCGGCCCATCACTGCCCACTGCACAGAAATTCCTATCTGTGGAGGCTGAGAGGGAGCCCCCCAGCCCTAAACCACGGCCACCCCAGCTCCAACCCCCCTGCCCTGGGGTCAGTTCCCAGCCTCTCGGGGCCTCTGTGCCCCCATCTATAAAATGGGGGTGAGCACTGTGTTGCCTCCTGGGGTGGCAACTGAAGCTGGTGTTGACACATCGCAGCTCCTGCTCCGGAGCCGGGCGTGAACCCCCAGAGCTGGGCTTGCACCCTGGGAGCCGGGCCTGAACCCCCAGAGCCGGGCTTGCACCCCAGGAGCTGGGTCTGTACCCCGGAGTCGGGTCTGCCCACCACTTTGCTGCTTCCAAGCTGGGTGACCTTGGACAACTCCCTTTGTCACGCTGTGCCCACCTCAGAGGCCGGTGTGGGGGCTGCCTGGTGCTTTCCTCCCCATGGACGCTCTCCCCGGTGGTTGTGGCCTCAGTCAGGGCCCCTCAGGCATGTGGGTGGTCCCTGCTCCCCCCATCGCAGCAGGAAGTTTCCTGATAAAGACTGAAATGTGAGGGGTTATGGGGCCCGTGGCAGCGCTGACCTGGCTTCTGTGGGGGCCGCCTCGTTGTTACCTCATCTGCAGCTGGAGAAACTGAGGCAGGGAGAGCAGTCTGACCACAGGGTCCCTGCCCAGCCCTAAGGCACTGTCCTGTGTGCAGAATGGCCCCGGTGTGGACCCAAGCACCCAGCAGGTAGGCATGCGGCTTAGTGATGCCTGACTAGGCCCGGAGGGCCTCAGGGACACATGGCCCTACGGCTCCCCTGGCCAGCTTCTCCTTGGTGGGGACAGGGCACATGGCTGCCACCTATCTACCAGGACACCCGGGCACCCCCCCGCCACCAATGGGACCCCAAGAAGTGGGGGGGGTGATGGCTGAGGGGACATAAACCCAGTCTGTTTGAAGGGCAGCGGGCTCGCTGTGCTGGGGGAAGCAGAGGGGACGCCCAGCACTGTCTTACCCAGGATGCTCGGCTCCTAGACAACACCATGGTCCACCCAGGTGGGAGGGGCTGAGAGCGGACTCGCTTTCCCCGAGGGGTGGGGTCACCATCCCGGTTGTGAGCGCCAGGCCAACCCCTCCTTCCCATGGCCCTCCGAGGAGGAACGGGGGTCCCCTCCGCCCTGGCAAAGCCCTTCCTGACCCCGCAAGGCAAGGCCCTACCTATGTGCCCCTTGCCACGGCCCGAGCCTCACTCCCATCACCCCTGCACACACACTCCGAGGATCATCTGCTCATAGCTGTCTGTCGGGTACACAGCAGGTACTCAATGAACGCTTCCTGCACCCGCACGTCTGAGCCAAGGGCAGTCTCACCCCCAGCCCTTGAGAACAAGCCATACCTGTGCTCAGAGATGCAGCCCCACACCCCCCGCACGCCACCCCACTTTCCCCAGAATTATGGAGAACACCTCTGGTCAGACTTTTGGCTGCAAACTGGTGGTTGGGGCGATGGGTAGCAGGAAACCACCCTCAGAGCCACGCCCCGCGCTCCAGCACTGGGCAGGTGGGGCCGACGCCTGCCTCCCACGTGACTGCAGCCACCCCACTCCAGCCAGAACCCCCAGCCTGGGGCGAGGGGGACGGCCCTCCAGACGCACGCCTACAATGCCTCTCCCCCGCCCTCCCCACCTGAGGCTCCTCTTGCCCAGCCAGAGGGGAATGCCTCCTGGGAGCCCCCGCGGCGCGTTAGCATGGCGTGGTGCCTGGCCCCACAGGCTGGCTGGACTTTGGAACAGGCACAGGCACAGGCTCTGGCCCAGAGGGTCGCCACTGGCCTCCTCAGCCAGGAGGCGGGGCCTGTCCCACCCAAGCCGCCAGGACAGCAGGCTCCCTGGATTTTCAGAAGGCTGGGCCTCCAGGCCCCGACCGACCGACCGACCGCCCGCCCGCCCGCCCGCCCACAGGGGTGCTTTACCTGGCCCGCTCCAGGAGACGCCAGACTCCTCCTCCAGCCTTGTCTCTGACTCCTGCCCCTTCATCTCCTCGGGGCCTCCTGGGGGCGTGGGGGGCGGTGGCGATGGTGGGGGTGGGGGATTAGCGTCTGCAGACAGAAAACACCATCAGGCCCTGCCATCCCTGGGCGCTGCTCCACCCACCTCCCCACCTCGCCCTGTGGACGGGAGGGAAACTGAGGCCCAGGTGGGTGAGCACGTTCCCAAGGTCACCCCACACCCAGGTTTGCGCTAACGGGGGACACCTCAATTTTCTCCTTGGCCTTTAAAACCGCTCATCCCCTCATTAATTGCAGCAGTAATTATTATTCCAGCTGCAGCTAATAATTAGAGGGTAGGGTGGCCTAAAGGGCACACGTGCAGGACCCAGCTCCCTGGTCTCCTCCGCCGGCAGCTGGGGGCCCCCGCGAGCAGGGCCCTGCACCCAACTCCAGCCCAAAGGGCATATTTGCCTTCCCTGCCGAGCCTGATAACTACCACAGCCCCCAATCGATGAGCTCCCATAAAAGCCCCCCCTTGGTGACGTCACACGCCCGGCAGATTATTAATACCCGAGATAAGAGCCGTGATTAACATCAAATAAATCAATCACACAGTATAAAAGTCCTATTATTTTTGGCTATAAATCAACGTGGCTGGCATTTGAGCTCCAGCCCTCGCGCGGGAGCCGCGCTGGGCCCGCCCAAGAGGCAGATACGGCTCCTGCCGCCTTATCTCGCCCATCACAGCGTTATCACCACGGCCTGTGCCAGGTGCAACCCCGGCTGTTTTTTCCAGCTCCTTCCCCGGTCCCGCCCCCACCCCGCGCAGCCCCAGCCCCCGGCTAGCAGATCAGATAAGGAGCCCCGGCTCCCCTGGAAAACCACCGGGTCAAAGTCCACCAGCAACAGCCACTTGGCCTTTGGCAGCTCAGGGCGCCCCCGGCAGCACACAGCACCTAACAGTGGGGATGATGGTGGCAGTGACAAGGGGCCCCTTACGCACTCCTGCAGCCTCGGCCGCCCAGACACAGATGCAGAAACTGAGGCTCAGGCAGGGCAGGAGCACGGGCCCCAGGGAAGGGCCAGGCGGGGGGGGGGGTGTCGGGCAGAGGGCTGCACAACTAGCCGTGGCGATGAGGCGGGCGGCAGAAATAATAGTAATGACCGCAAAGCGGCTCCCCGGCCACTGTCCCTGGGTGAGCTGGGGGTAGGGGTGCCTCGGCCCCCCGCTCTCGATGAGCCTGCCACCGCGCAAAGGGCCACCAGGGCCAGCAGGTCCCAGAGGACGAGGCTCGTTGGGCTCCTGGCCTGTGGTCATCGCAGGGGGCAGGGCACAGATGCTCGGAGACTGGGAAACGCTGGGGGCAGGGGGTCCACAGTGAGAACGTCTGCCTAGGATCTCCACTGCCCACTGGCCAGTCTCTCGCGGCCTCTGAAGTGGCAGATCCGCCCTTCTCTGTGCACCCTCCTGGTCTCTGCTCAGTGTCACCCCTACCCCATCTCTCCTTCACCCCGTCATGTCACCTACTCACTGCCTTCTGAAATGGTCCACTTTGGGGCTACATCTCCCCCATCAGACTACGGCCTGGGGGTCACTCAGCCCCGTGTGCCAAGAGCGTCACGGCCCCGAATGGGGGTAAGACCCACGGCCAGCAGGGGGGAGGCAGGGAGAGGTGAGTCCAGCTCAGAGCAGGCACACCAGATCCCCCACTAATACCCCAAGCCAAGTTTCCTCCTCAGGAAAACAGGGGTGAGGGTGCTGACCTCCCCCACACGTCCACCTCAGGGAGGCCTCTCCTCCTGGGGGTACGGCTAGCTAGAGAAGCTGCCCTTGCTTTGAGGCCCGCTGGGGACCTGTCCAGAGCAGGCTTCCTGGGGTCAGGTTGATTCACCTCTGGGTCTCTCCCCAACACCACCCCCACCCCCGACCCCCGACACTGCCACCAAGAGGGTCCAAGGAAAGGTTCCAGGTGCCTGGGGTGGGGTGGGGGGAGCAGGCTCTGTACGAAGAGAAATCAACCTGAATCCAGACCTGGGGTCGGATCACTGCTCAGGTGTTTACAGGCTGTGTGACCGTGGGCAAGTCCCTTCACCTCTCTGGGCCTCATTCCCTCGTCTGTAAAATGGGGTACTGTGCCGTAGCAGGAGAACCTGCTATGCGCTGAGACCATGCGTGCTGAGGCCTCGCTGCCCCATCCCACAGAGGGTAAATGGAGGCGGGGGAGGGCATGGCTTTCTCGAGGTCACTCAGTGGCCCAGGACGCCCTGTCCAAGCCTGGACTAGACCTTCCCCATTGAGGCCTTCGTCTGCCCCTTTGCATCAGAAGGGGCTGGACTCCAAGACCCTCCTCATGCTGAGGGTGTATGTGTCTCCTCCCCCGCCCCTCCGGGCGTCAGGCCCCTGGCCGCTAGCTGCCCAGCCACTGGCCCACAGACACCAGCGAGCACAAGGCGCACTTCACCGGTGAGGACGTGGGAAGGGGTCGGGCAGCGCAGGGCGTGAGACGCCAGCCTGTCGTGCACCCACCGCCGGACTCACCTGGACTGGAAGGGCTCAGGGGCTCGGGCTCTCCCACGGCCTCAGGCTCCGGTGTTCCGGCCTCCCGCTCTGGGTGGCTGGCGTCCATGGCCTGAGCCTCTTCCGTAGCTTCCACGTCTCCAAGGGAACCTGCAGACACAGCCCAAAAGGAATCGTGAGGCTCTGTGGGGCGATGGCCCCCGGCCTCCAGACCCCCCCCTCCCCGGGCAGAGGGGCATAGGCTCTGCCACCTCACAGGGCCAGAGGCCGTGAGCGGCGCCCCCAAGACTTGTGCACACCTGACCCTCATATCACCCCAGTCCCTGCAACAGTTCCAACGCCTGGGGTCACTCTGGCGTCCCACCCCCACCTCCCCAGCTCTGCAACCTCTCAGCCCACTGACCCCTCTGGCCAGGAGGGTGGTCCTGGCCCCTCCCCGGGTCTCCCCTCCGCTCTGTTCCAAGCTGTGGGAGCAGCGACGGTGCCTCTTCCGGTTCAGGGGGCTCCTGGGGGCTGTATGGACCACAGCCCTCGCCTCCCCCTCGCCAACCCTCTCTGGGGGTTCACGGAGCCCCAGCATGAGGGTAAATCTCTCCTGGGCCCAGACAAGTCCCCCGAGAAGCCCTCCCCACTCAGCCTACCGAGGCTTGGGAGCTTCGTGAGGGTGGGCCCGTGTGCGGGGCCCAGGAAGTGCTCAGAAAACGTGGCTACGGGAATGCGTGCTTGATGGGGCACAGGTGCGGGAGGGCACAGGTGTCGGCAGTCAAGCCTCTGGGACCGGAGGGCCTCAGGCCTGCAGCCCCGGATTCCAACTGTCACCCTCCCTGGGAGGCCCTTGCAGGTCTGCTCCACGGAACCCCCTTACAGCTGAGAAGGCGGACTCAGAGCCCAGAGACTTCCTGGGGAAGCAGGGAAGCCAGACCTGCCAGGGCAGCACCCTCCATCAGACCGGCGTGTCCGGGGGAGGGCGGGCAGAGGGGAGATTGGTGAGCAGGCACCCCTCCTGATTCTGCTCTCCAAATCTCCCCAGGCCCCCTCTGGCTGGTTCGGCCTGGGTCCTGAGGCCCGGAGACAGGTGCTGGGGCTGAAGCTGCCTCCTGCCCTAGTTACCTTCCCAAATGGCTCCTCTAGCCACCTGTCCTGCCCTGCCCCGGTACCCCCCCACCCCTCCCCCCAGTCATCAGGGAGATGATGCCCATCATCTGGGCATGGCCATGGGGCAGGGTCCTGACTCACAGACCCCTGCTCAGCCCAGGCTGCCAACCCCACAGCAGCCAGGCCCTCTTGCTGCCGAAGAAACGTCTGGAAGTCATGACAACAACTGCAAATCCACGTGTTGGGGGTGCCTGATGGGGCTGAATGGGGCTTGCTCTTGCTGGCATCGGGGACAGAGGTATGTGGAATGGAAGGGCCACCTCTCAGGGGCTGAGCTCCCCATCCCTGGAGGCAAGCAAGCAGCAGCTGATGGAGATCTGACTGGGATTCCTGCCTCTGTGACCTTTTCTGCATCATGACCCCCATGGGGATCTGGTGAAAGCCAGTGCCTTCTCCCCAGAAAACCCAGAGACCAAAATGTGCCATTTCAGGGGCTTCTCACCAAACCCCTAGTCTTCTTCTGGTGCCCTCCCTCACTCCCCTCCTTCCCTGTATTTCCCCAGAGGTGAAACCTGGTGCCACCAGCCAGCGTCCACCGCGGGCCACAGGAGCTGGCTCGGGGCAGCGGTCCAGGGAGACGATGATAGAAGGAGCAACGTGAGAAACGAGGCTCCACCTGACTTTCCCAATGTAGCGATTTCCATGGGGCAGGGAGGTGGGCGAGCTGGTTTTGTTTGCCTTCCAGCTCAAATCCCTGGTCACTGGCAGACGGCAGCCGGCTATAGTAAGGAAAACCGAGCGCTCCTGGCGGGGCGGACGCCCTTCCTGCCTCCCGCCAACATGTCCGCCTGGGGCGGACACTGCTCCAGGAGGCAGAGGTGCCCAGGACATCGGGACTCTGCGGGGGGACTCCCAGGCCCGCTGGGGAGACCGTCAAAGAACAACAGACGGGCCCCAAACAGGAAACAACTGATTATAAGTGCTGGGAGGGAGGGGGGGCAAATGAGGGAGAGGCGCGAGCAGGGGAGATGCCGCCAGCAGAGCTCAGGCAGGACAGACAGCTGGGGATGCAGCTCCGGGTGGAGGGCCCGGGGGCTGGACAGAGCTCGGCTTCGAGGCTGGGGAGAGGCCAGGGCAAGGAGCGGATCCTCATCCCAGAGGCACGTAGGGCCACAGAGTCCCTGGCAGGGTTGTTTCCCGGCTGCAGCCGTCTGGACTCCAGCTCCAGACCTGAGTCCTAGCCTCCCCGGGACACCCCGGAGCCGTAATTACAGGAGGTGGGGAGGTGCTCACCACCCCGTGGCCGGGCCGAGACCGCACAGAACCAGCCCCAGGCCAAGTCTTGTGCTTTCCTGTCAACGCACCCACATGGACAGACAAGCCTCTGAGGTGGACTGGGCACAGCCCAGCTGGTCCACCGTGGCCCCTGGGACAGGTGGGAGGCCCGACCTGCCGTGGCCTGTCTTGGCATGCAACTGGGCAGGAAAGCAGAGGCTGCAGGGGAGGCTGGCCTCAAGCTGCCCCGCCTGTGGGGTTGGTGCTGAGCAGGTGCTGCTGGCCACGGCGGCCAGCAGCCCGGCAGCCATCCCAGCCTCGGTGGGCAGCACAAAGGCCTCTCGGGTCAGCCTGAGACATGCCTGTGCCTCCTGGGCTCATCAGAGCTCCAAGGGGATGGCCCGTAGCTGAATGGCCATAGGACCTCAGGGCCTCAGTCACCTGCTCTGGTGAACGGGTACGAAGCCACTTGCTCTCAGCGCCCGCAGGGACCACAGCGTTGGGGCAGAGCGGACGCCCCCCTCTGCACCGCTGCCTGACCCCAGGGATGCAGCTCCGACTGTCAGGGCCCCGCTCAGGCGGGCCTCAGCCACCCAGGGAGGCCCCAAGCTCGTGGCGGGTCCGTTTATGGGAGAACAAAGGCCCCCGCGCCGCACAAAGGCGTGACGAGGAGCGTGAAGAAAGGGGCTGCCGGGCTGCAGCAATTTATTCTAATGCCGCTAATTCAGTTCCACCGCAATTAAAGCCACTCTGATAATGTCGGAGACAACGGCCAACCAGCAAATCGCTCCGAGCCCACGAGGGGATGTGTCATGGCCAAGGCTGAGCCGTGCCTGCCTCGGCACCCCAAGAGCGTGCCATCCCGCCCCTGGGACACCCTGGGGTCCCACTCCACCGAGGGCTTGGGGAGGAGGGTTCCTCCACTGGCCACGCATCAGAGAGACACTGCTGCTTCCCTGGCTGCCCTGAGCCAGGAATGAGCCCCACCTGACCCCTGCGGGACGCTCTCTGGCAAAGATCCCAACAGCTAGGCCAGGCCAATCCATGCAAGACAGGTGTCCGTGCTGTGTGACCTCAGGCAAGTCACTCTACCTCTCCGTGCTCGGAAACCACAACAGCTCCTATGTCACAGGGTGAAACGTGTAGTAAGTGCGCACCAAACATCGTTAGCTGTCACCACCTGCTGCACAGCAGGGCCTGGGGAATGGGGTGGGGGGCGTGCGGTTATTAAGCATCATCTGTCGTACGTTAGCCCTGTGCTCAGCATTTTACAATGTTCTCCTTTAACCACCCCTGCCCGGTGGCCCAGACTGTAGGGGTGGTGGGGAAAGTGTGTGTGGACTGCACAGGGGTGGGGAGGGGGCTGGCCGGGCCCTGAGCCAGTCATGATGGGCAGATCTCCTCCCAGCCTCTCAACACCACCCAGAGGTTACACCCACTTTGCAGATGAGTAAACTGAGGCCCAGCAAGGTGAAGTGACTTGCCTATGGCCCCCATGAGGAAGCAATGGTGGGGGCGGGCAAGGCAGGACCCTCCCCAGACATGCTACCCCTGCAGACGCTGGCTCAGGCAAAGCCCCCTCTGCACCAGAGTGGCCCCGTGCGTCCCTTCACCCTCCGGACGCCTGGATCGAGGGTGACGCCGGCCGCACAGCCCAGCAGGGTGGAGAGGCCAGTGCCCAAGGCTGGACCCTGTCTGGGGGTGCCCGTGGTGATGATGGCGGTTGCAGAGCTGCCCCCGCTGCCCGGAGCCCCTCAGTTATCACGGCGAGCAGAGGCCCCGCGCCGATCCGTCTCCTGCTCATTAAGCCGGACGTGGAAATGGAAATGAAAACATAATAGCTATTTGATTGGGGGCGAGATAGTTTGCATATTGGCTGGGCGCTGATAGCAGAATTTCATCAACTCCCGTTCTTCATGCTTTAAGACTGAATTACGGAGACAGGCTCTGTGCGGCAGGATGATCCCCGCTCCCTTCCGAGTCCCCGAGCTGCACGACTAACGGCCCCTCCTGGCTCTGATGGTGAGGCAGCTGGTGCGGGGGGGTGGCTTTGAATGACCACCTCTAAGAGAGTTGGAGCTGTTCTCTGTGGAGGGGACAAAATCCCCCCAGACTGTGGCCCCTAGGCAGACCTGTCAGGCAGGGAGTTGGTGAGAGTGTCTCCGAGCACGGGACGGGGAGTCCCAAGGCCCTGGGCCTCCCGCTGGTCGCAGCTGGTCCCGCAGACTGCACCTGCATCCAGTGGAGGTGACCACCCGCACCCCAAGACCACTGGAAACATGTGAAAGAACCAGGGCAGAGTCCCCAGGAGCCCCCCACCCAACTGGGGGCCTGACCACCGTGTGATTCTTTACCTGAGGTCCCGCGCTGTGCCCGCCCATTACGTGGGTCCTTTATGCCTCTCTGGGAAGGTCCTTCTTCTTACACCCCATTTACAGAGCAGAAGACAGAGGCCCAGAGACCTGCCCTGGAGCCCCTCCTGCGTCAGGGCTGGATTTTGAAGGCAGGCCCCCTGGCCTGGGGGCGGGGTGGGCACTGATGGACCGCGTGGCCCTGCCCTTCCGCTGGAGTGCCGGCAGCCCTCATCCTCCACCACTGTTCTCTCATTCACCCCTCCTTGACCCCCGGATTCATTAACCTGTCCAACCCTTCCTGGGTCCACCGAGGGCCAGAGTCTGCCCCAGGACATACCCCAAGCAAAGTGAAAAACCCAAGTGTGGCCACTGCCACGAAGGAGAGGTGCAGATGCCAATCAGGGAAGCCTTCCTGGAGGAGGTGAC